AGTCGAAGAGCTTTGCAGACCCGTCGATGAAGCGCCCATGAAGCAAGCTCATCTTCAATGCCTCATTCAGTCTGGCTTAGACTTTAGTAGACAGCGTGCAGCTACGGAATTGCGAGGAGGGAGCCGCATTCCGCTGTTAACACACGCGTGTACATCAAGTGCCCCCCAAGGCGATGAAGGCGATGAAGGCGATGAAGTGAGCAGTTTTGGCCCGCGCGGTTCAAAGCGTTTCGCCAGGTCCCTAGGGCCTGACTCCCAAAGCACCCCGGAGGGCCTCTGCCTGTACAGAAAAAAGCACGGACGTTACACTGTGTTACACGTGCACCTTGTTGACGAAACCTAACAGCTGAGACACTGAAGGCTCATGTCTGCCCACACCCCCACAGACCCGCAAGGTTTCCAGAGGGGGTGCACAGCCTAAAACATAGCTTAAAAGGTAAGAAATGGTTAGAAGCAGGGGTCCAGGGTTGCTATGGAGGCTCAGGGGGCATGATAGTTTCGCGGATAGGGCTGCCGGACGTACTTGAGGTCTGGTGCGGTATGTGCATGGGAACTCCCGTTTCAAGCTTTCTGGCTTTCATTCCGGGGTGAGGCATTTTGGCACGCTTGAAGACTCGCCTCAGGCTCCACATTGTCGGTCGCAGCCGCCTTTCCAGTTCTCTCACGCCTCCTTGCGCCTCCAAACGCTTCCCGCACTCGCCATGGCTCCCATGAAGGCGATGAAAGCCATGAAGGCCATGAAGGCAACCTGGGACACCACAGTGACGCTATAGATTCACTAGCTGGGAACCAGTCTGCACAGGGGAGCTTCAGTATAGCCAGTGGTAGAAGTGTCTGAGGGCCCGTCATAGTTCATCATCTGCAGGCCATGAAGGCTATGAAAGCCATGAAGGCCGAATGCTTTTGCTCCTTCTTCGATTGAGTGAGTAGCCCCGGGAAAGGACCAGAAGGAGCCCTAGTTGTGCAAGTCTCTGTGGCCTTGAGATAGTCTGCTAGTGGCGTGTTGCGAAGATCTCCGGATGACCTCGGCAACCTAAGCCTCGCGAAGCCAACTAACTCCACACGCTTCGAGCTTTTACCGCTCTCCTCGGCTCACTCGCAGGCGATGAAAGCGATGAAAGCCATGAAAGCCATGAAGGCAGTCGAGCCGCCTGCTCTGTTCTCAACGGTTTGCTTTGCGTCAGGGCGGGGGCTAGTGGGCAAGTTCCATCGGATGTTCCCAGCCGTCGAGTGGATTCAGCTGCGCAACTTCTTTTGGCAAGAGCTGTGGTTCGATCGATGCCGTTTCCGCACAGGCAATGAAGAAGGCGGATGACGAGGATGCCCCGGCGATGAAGAGCATGAAGTCAATGAAGGCCAGCCGTCGGAAGCCGATGGTTCTTTCTTCCTGGGGGCCGTTTTGACGGGATTGGTGGCCATGGACATTTCTCTCAAGTCTGGTTTCATAATTTCATAAACTACCTTTGGTTACGAGGCTTGCCCTTCTGTGAAAGCCTGGGTGGCAGGCGATGAAGGCCATGAAAGCGATGAAGGCCTCAGCTCGAGCATGCGCTGCGCATTCTCGTGCCGTCTGAGTCATGACACTCATCGATCTCGTCCTGTGCCGCACGGTGTTGCTACTTAAAGCTTGCTTTCATCATGCCAGCTTGGGCTCAGCACCATGAGTCAAAAACTCTTAGGCGATGAAAGCCATGAAGGCGATGAAGGCAGGCGCCCACAGTTGTTGAAGAGTCGAAGAGCTTTGCAGACCCGTCGATGAAGCGCCCATGAAGCAAGCTCATCTTCAATGCCTCATTCAGTCTGGCTTAGACTTTAGTAGACAGCGTGCAGCTACGGAATTGCGAGGAGGGAGCCGCATTCCGCTGTTAACACACGCGTGTACATCAAGTGCCCCCCAAGGCGATGAAGGCGATGAAGGCGATGAAGTGAGCAGTTTTGGCCCGCGCGGTTCAAAGCGTTTCGCCAGGTCCCTAGGGCCTGACTCCCAAAGCACCCCGGAGGGCCTCTGCCTGTACAGAAAAAAGCACGGACGTTACACTGTGTTACACGTGCACCTTGTTGACGAAACCTATAACAGCTGAGACACTGAAGGCTCATGTCCGCCCACGCCCCCACAGACCCGCAAGGATTCCAGAAGGGGTGCACAGCCTAAAAGGTTAGAAATGGTTAGAAGCAGGGGTCCCAGGTTGCTATGGAGGCTCAGGGGGCATGATCGTTTCGCGGATATGGCTGCTGGACGTGTTTGGGGTTGGGTGCTACGTACGTGCATGGGAAGGTCCTTTTAGAAGCTTTCTGGCTGTTTCATCCCGGGGTGAGGCATGGGCACTGTGCGCTTGGACTCTCACCCCAAACCCTGAACCCTAAACCCTAAACCCAAAACCCTAAACCCTAAACCCTCCGCAGCCGCCTTTCCAGTTAGTGCATCGCGTAATAATGTTGGACTCGCTTTAGTGCGCTGGGGTCCTCCCCCCCCCCCCCCACCCCCCAAACAATTTTGGATTTTTTGCCATGATGCGGGCACTCGGGGGTCGAGGGTGAAGCTCTTCTGCGCGTATGCCTTTGGCTCAGCCGCTGATAGCGTTACCGTACAGCCTCCGGCGCCAGGGCTTGCACCAAAACCATGGAAAAAAACGTCTGCGAAGCTGCTACATTGAGACATGCACGTGCGTTTCCGCACAGGCGTTGCGTCAAGACAAAGCCCCCAAAAAGAGACAGGGGCCCCGGCACGCCCATGATTCTGACTCGAGGAATCAACTCTCCATCTTCGAGTCCTGCAATTACTCCAAGTAATGAGAATTCTGAATCGCCCCCGGAATTTAGGATTGCGATCCCAACTAGTAAGTCCCTGTAGCAAGGATTCTTTGGACCTTGTAGTCCCTTAAGCACATGTCCGCCATGCGGGTTCCGCCTGGTCCTGCCGCCTACCTCACGGCGGGCTTGGCGGTGGGATATGCTGCCTGGAGATAAAATTCCAAGACATGTCAGAATTCTTGGCATTGTTTTTTGCCGCCGTCGGCTGCTATCATCAGTATGATTGCTGCAATAGTAAGTATTATCAGTACGTCAAGGACGCGTTTCCGCTGGGGGAAAGGGGTGCGAGCAATCCCAACGGCTTCGGGGAAACAGAAACAGTAAACCCTGACCCCAAGGCCGTCAGCCTTGAACGCAGACTCTCATGAAGACATGCGCATGCAGCCCGAGTAACCGGGCGGAGGCATGGCAGACTAATCTACCCTTGTTCTCGTGTAGCTCTCAGCCATCATAGGCAAATAGTGAGCATGCTTCTCGGGGTCCAAGGATCAAGTGCACAGGGTCCTCTGTTACCACGTCTCCTGTAGTTTTCCGTAACCGTGACAAGATTTTCTGCATCCCCAGTGGAGTCTATTTCCTGCATCCCTCGTCTGGAGTACAGAGAAGGATTGTCACGGCCGATCACAGGGTGAGAAGTCGTACCCTAAACCCTAAAAACTCCCTAAACCCTAAACCATGGGTGCTGGTGTGTGCCCATTAGGGCTTCGCACCCTTGCGTCTTTCGTGGATCAGGGATCCATATCCCCCAAGTGGGCACACCCCGTATCCTATGCCAGCTTTAAGCGTTAGCATCCGTTAACCCAATCTTCTGCCCTCAGTGATGAAAGCTAATGACTGAGAAACTCACGCAAACTCCACAAAAGAGAGTCTCACATCATGCCATCCATCAAGCCTTCTTCCAAGCTCCCACATCATCCTATGCGAACCGCCTCCACGGAAAAAAATCCCTTCGCAACGCTTTGGGGCAAACAACAAGACCCCGTAGCCTCCTCCTTGGACTGTGATACCTTAAAGCCCAACCGTAAACTACGGAACGAAGCTTCCTCGAGGCTTTCTTTCACTGGTGGGTCTGGGATTGCCAACACCGTGCCTTCCCAGCCCCTGGGGCCTTGAAAGGAGTTTCACGAGGCTTTGGCTTTTAGGGGTTGTAGCGCCTTATGACGGGAGTTACCTAGGTCCCATAGGAGTTTTGGGGTGGGGGGGGGGTCCTCAAGGGTTTCAGGGGGGGGTCCCGCAAGGCAGAGGCGTCACGGTATCGGCACGCAGCTCCTCCAAGCAATTTCGGAGGGGTTGGGTTAGCCCACAATGGGCTTTCCAAGTTGGGACTTGTGCGTGCGTGCGTGCTTTTGGGAGTGGATGTGATTATCCATACTTCCGGTGTCTCCAGGACCGGAGTGCATTGGGGGGAGTGTATGGGGTCACGGCCTCCATTCCCCAAACTTACGTCTGGCCCTGGTATCCTTGTACTCCGAATAACAACTGCGGGTCGGCCCTTGGGGTATTCTCATCTGTTCCCTTGTTGGGTTTAAGAGGACCATGTTTTCCTAGTAGTAGAGTAGGTAACCTTCAACCTTTGAGGAACCTTTGAGGGAAAGTGCGGGGGACTGTGGGAGTGCACTTTTTTGGTTATTTCAGCTTGTGCGAACTCTGTCGTATGTCTTGTTTCGCGCGTACTAAACAAAAGCAAATATGCAAGTTTTGGGGTAGTATAATCCCCTTATAATCCCAAAGGTTAACCTTTAATTCCCCCAGGTTACTGGACAACTAGGTTTCGTTTTTGCAACACTTGTCACAGGGCTCCAAAAAGCGTGCCCATAAATCCATATAAACCCACATTAACTCATAGAAAACCATATAAACCATATAACTCATATAAACCCATAGAAACCCATAGAAACCCACATACACCCACATAAACCCATATGAAGCCATATAAACCCTATATATAAACCCTATAAAGCAATATAACTCGTATAAACCCATAGAAACCCATGAAAACCCATATAAACCCACATAGAGCCACAGAAACCCATGTAAACCCGATAAACCCCTATAACTCAAATAAACCCATGGAAACCCATATAAACCCACATAAAACCCACATAAACCCCAAAAAAATCCTATAAACCCATTAAAGCCTCAGCCCTGAAGCGAAGGCGTTGCGCGGCACCTACCCGGCGGTTTGGACGATGCCTTCGGCGCATCGCCTGACCCTGGTCAGGCTCTGGAGGCCTTCTTTCTTGCTCGTCTCGCGTTGCCCCGAGCTTACTGTGAATGAAGCATCCTATGCCATACAGCACACTACATAAATACATTAAATAAATATACAGATAGGTAGATGTATGTATATATATATATATGTGTATATATGTATATAACACCACAAATGAAAACCATTGATATATATATATATACACACTATATATATACACTATATATACACACACTATATATCATGTTATAAATAGTATGCAAATGATGCTAGTGAGACTATTGCTCGAGGAAGTGGACTTCATGATAAGAATAGTCATCGAAGAGCCCCTTCTCAGCTCTCCCACACTTCTTCAATTCTTGTGTTTCTCAAAAGAATACAGTACTGGGCTGCAAATACTGCTGCTCGGGCTTCCTTTGTTTCCTGGGAGGGCTACATCTGGTAGTGCAACACACCCAAAACAGCGAGGAGCGTAGCTTACCTGGACAGTGTGTTACCAAGTAGCGGTATACAGGCCTGTCTTACAATTCCTCCTTTTGCAAATGCATTGCATGCTGATAGCGATTATCAAGACGGCAATTGCAGTAGCAGTGCTGAATACAACGTTTGTGTCGTCATTCTCAACTGTACTACTTGTGAAAGGCATCCTAGCGGATACTGTTATTCTCATGGAAAACGACCATCATAGCGCATCGACAAGGTTATACAGAAATTCAGCGATTGCATCAGTGTCCAGGGGCGATGTGGGAGGGGATTGTTGAGGGCGTTTAGGGTTTTTGTCAAATCGCTTCCTGGCACTCACGCCGCCGTGCACTGTCATTGACCAGACGGCCCATGAAATTCACAAGCCGCCAGAGAAACAGCACGGATCCAGGTCCAGCAAACCTTCCAGAATCTATATAACCCTAAACTCTAAATCCGGGCCAGGGCCCGCTTGGTAGACCTAAGAGCTGTTTGTTTTGTTTGTTTTTTGTAATGTTTGTCCCCCCCAAAAAAAAACTCTAGGTCATGGTGATGCTGCTGATGGACCGAATCCTGGTAAATGTAGCAGCACAGCAGCTCCATGAGATGTTCGTATCGCACAGGCTGCTCACGAGTCCGTTGAGGCGCCTCCCCGATGCGGGGAGTTGACTTCAGCAGAATGTTCATATTGCTTTTTTGAGTAGCATTCTAAGTTCTTCTTATAAGATTATCTCGTATGTGCTTGTATGTATGTGCGTGTATATATATATATAATGATAATTATACTTCTATGTATCTGGCTATGTTACCATTCTGTCAGTACGGTTAGAGTCGTATCAATTTAAGTTATTTGGTGGGTCTCCTTTTAGCGGGGTTTCTCTGCTTGCTAGTCCTCAGTGACTCAGCATCTGTCCCTGACATAGAGCTGGCCCATTTCCTGAGTTCGTTTTAAAGTCTCGAGCTGTTGTCGATCCCCTACAACTTCCATGAATTGCGGGTAAGGACGTCTACATCATCGGCGCGCCAAAATCTGGCACCAGTGCTCTGTTCACCTTTCTCGCCATGCACCCGAAAGTCAAGGCTCCTTGCTAGCACAGCAATCGTACTGTTGTCGCGTTGTCGTAAAAAATGAACACACACCGTTTTCGTACAAATAGTGGCAGTGGTGGTCGTGGTCGTGGTCGTCGTAGTTGTTGTGCAGCAGTCATCATCTGTATTGCCGTAGTCGTGGTGGCTGTGGATAGTGGTACTGGCAGCGGAGAGTCGCAGATAGTAGGTAGGTCGGTAGTTCGGCGGGCTGGGGTCGGTAGGGTGGCTAGGCAGTAGCCGCAGCATGGGCTGGCTTTCCACCACGGGCCTCATGGCAAGGCACTAGTAGGGGTATGCGAGCTCATGTCTCCTCGCTGGTTTGTGTCGGTCTCGTTCTTTTCTTGCCTCCTCCTGCAACACAGGCAGAGTGCGAAGCCAACTCCAGTGCTCTTCTCACGGTCTTGCCTTGCTAGTGCTGCCTTCGATTTGAAGAGGAATGCTTTGGGATCTCAACAGCGAAGCTTGGAACACTTGGACTCAACATCGCAACCCCGTGAACAGAAACCCAACCCCAAGCCTGGCCCCCAGGGTTGGAGCTCCTGCAAGGGTTTTTTTTGGGTTTAGGGTTTAGGCGTTTAGGGTTTAGGGCTAGGGATTTAGGGTTCAGGGTTTAAGGTTTAGGGTTTAGGGTTCTGAAGGCATGTGCAGAGGCTCTTAAACGGTGGTGGGCAGAGAGAGTCCGGCGTACGGCGTAGCTTCCAAGCGCATCTCAGGTTCCTCTCCAGAAGGACCTTCGTCGGCATTATGCTAGCGATAGGACTATACTGACTCTAGTCGTCATCATAGATCCGCTGCATAAGCAGAACAAGGAATATCAGTAAGAAGGCGGGCATGTTCTCAGGAGTTAAGGAATACCCATTTGAGAGATGGCAGATCCCACATCGACGTTGGCCAACTACCCATGACATGCTGCCCATACCCCAGATTACAACCCAAGGTAACGTCAATTTATCTTCTCCCCCAAACATGTCCCTCCCCCGAATTCTTATAACTGTCCCCGAAGAATGACGGACCTGTTGCAACGTTGGGGGAGGTAGTGGCTGCAATAATACCGGGCGGTGGCCCCTGTTGTAAGTACTGGACTTGGGCAGCATCCAGCGACCAGAGCCGATTTCGGAGATTTTGGGCATTTTTGGGCAAGCTGGAGGTTTCCTGGGCGGCGCAGAAATTCTTTGGTCTCCACCACACCCCCACACAAGCATGGCAACATTCTAACGTGGTAGTCATGTGGCCCCATGTTTTTTCCTGCGGGTTGCGGTTTAGGTCTGGGCTTGGGCCAAGATTGTCCTGGTGGCGTTGATGGCTCTTACTGCTTTTGCTGAAATGATAGGTGCTGCAGTTTTGGTACTGCTGCTACGGTTCTCCTAGTGATGGTGATACGATGGTTGTTGGCATTTCTATCATGGTCATTCCTGCTCATGCTGACAACGCACATGCTTGAAACCAACTGCAGTTATGCTTCGAACAACTATTGAAAGCAGATGTGCCATCATGTCATACTGCGTATGGAACCTCGAAAAAGTGTCAGGCTGCATCGCGCAACAGACAACATCACATATAGATTATGATATGGCTTGTAGTATGCGTTGTCGCGAGACGCTGGCAGTACTGGTATTGGGAGGTTCCAAGCAGTCCCGCAACCCTAAAGAGCAATCCGCAGGCGAAGCCTAAACTATATCCCCTTGGGAGTTATTTTATATTTTTGTTTATATAAAACCCAAGAGGATATTAACAAAGGGGAGTATATAGTAAGACCCTAAACTGAGGAGTCGCGCTTTCTGGAGGGATTCTGTGGCCTTCACCTGTCGAAGTTCATGTATCGTTCACTTTTCCCAACCAGGCTCCTTGGCTGCGCCTAGGGTTTAGGGTTTAGGGTTTAGGGTTTAGGTTTAGGGTTTAGGGTTTAGGGTTTAGGGTTTAGGGTTTAGGGTTTAGGGTTTAGGGTTTAGGGTTTAGCATGGGTTTTTGGGGCTTCGGACCACTGGCCACCCCAAGAACCCCTCGGTTCTGTTTGTGGCATTTGTTGGGGGGGGAGGGGGGGCTTTGAGGAAACCTGGCGGCTCACTTGCCTCCGGAATTAATAGCTGAGGACGAGTTTCGATTTCTTCTTGTCACGAGGCAGGGGAAGTCACTTGCTTTGAAGGCCCCCTGAGTCTGAGAAATGAGCTGTGAGCGCTAGACTTGGGTGCTGGTTATTCCCAGCAGCCGATAGGTTGGATTCCTATCTCTAGAGGTGGGGGCCGGGGGCGGGGGGGGGGCAAAAATGCCGGAGCGGAGCGGCACGAAGGAACATGCCTTGAACGGGAGCAGGCTCAAGAGCTTGCTCCGAGGTCCCCCATGGTCCCCCCAAAAGGCGTGCTGGTGAACTCAGCAAAAGCAACTCAGGGAGCAGAGTCGTGTTCTTACGCCGCCTCCCACGAACTTTTCCTTCGGGTTAGCACGTTAGACCTTTGCCTTTAAGCACGCGAGGCTCGGTCGTGCTAGGAGCAAACTGTCGCCCCTGTCCCTTGTGGACTTGCGTTCTGTGGCAGGGACTCAGGTTCGACAAGGCTTCCGAGACAAAAGGCAAGTCATGGTCGTTGGTAGGCTATGCATGGGGAGTACCGTACATCATACAAAGGATTGGATGAACCCTGCCCCAATGTGGTTTCGTTGTGGCTTGGGTGAAATCAAAGATATTCATGGAACGCAACTGACTGCGTAAGTTTTTGCGGGTTGTGTTGAAGAGAGTGAGATTCTACAACGGGTTGACGAGGAGCCGTAAAGGATTGAGCTTCCTCCCTTTCAGGAGGTTAGGCATTGGGGGTTTGGATCGCATCCCGGAGTCCCCACCTGTCTTCAGATCACTGGACCCAGAGCCACTAAGGTTCGAATGTCCTGAAGCTGGGCTCGAACTGAGCTAGCCACATGCGGTGGTTACACACCGACTCTGCAGGGGCTCTAGTCCAGGGCTTTGTAGGTTTTGTTGGAGGATTGACATGTACCTCAACATATCTACCATTCGGTTGATAGGGGGCAAACACAACCAAAGCAGAGCGCTAGTACCTCAATGGGAGGGCTCCGACTTAGGGCACCATCACCTTCGCGATTCCCATCAACATCCTGCGTATTCTTACTCCATCTGCTAAGCTAAGCATGCCTTCAGAGATCTGTTTTTTTTTGTTTGCTGTCCCTCCTCCAAAATGAATCAGTTCTGCTGTGCAAGATTGTGCCCCCCCAGATACCGCACCATGTATCTTGGCACTATGCTCGCAAGGAAGGATACCTGACCCTCGATGGCGACGCAACTGCTGCCATCATGCCAGAGCTGTCCTCTGCAATGTACAGGCACCTGCCTGAAGCCCTCGTTACCTTAAATGGAGTCTGTTCCAGGTGCCCCGCGGCCCATAGGAATCCGTGTCACCTGAAGCATCCCTGGACTATAGGTCCCTGCATCATCCTGCACATCCCTGAAGAACCCCCGAAAATTTTGCGCAGGCGCATGACGCCCAATGCTAAGATCATCTTATCGTGCCGGGAGCCGTGCGACGGCGCCTTCTCCTTGTACAAGATGAGATCCAGGCATATGGGTGGGCCATCCAACTGCGACACAAAAAGTCTGTCCTGCCTGTTGAGGTCTATCCTAATATTCGCCTGACGTGTGCAAGTACTGTCTGTTGCAGGCTTGGACCGTTGTTGGCTGTTCATGTGAATTCTGTGTCTCCAGATGCGGAAATCATGTGGAGCAATTTCGTAGCCGCATAGATCGCAACATCAAAGCGCATAGCCAATCCTGCCCTCGGGTAAGATGCAGACCGGCAATCTTCTTTGGCTTTCAGTGGAGGGCAGCTCGGAACAACAACACAAGCAGTCAACATCCGCAACTACTTCTAGAACCAAGCTTATTGCGTTAACCCCCACGCCCCCCCCCCCCCCCCTGTGGCGAGACTCGCGTAGACCCAACAGTTTGAATATCAGGCGTTATGTAATCCCTTACCGTCCTTCCAAACAGGGGTGCTTTTTGAACGAAGGGAAGGGTATTGTGTTCCCAACAAGAGCGCTCCGACGGGTTGTTCACGCTCGCACGAAAGTGGACAAGTGCGTTTTGTATTGGTAAGCGCAGTACAAAACAGATGTCGCCGATGGTTTATCGCAATGTAAAAACAGCTTGTTTTCCGTCAAAATAGCGGTTTCGCTCGACAAGTCCTCCAAACGCAGTTTAGCAACAACGCGCATTCCAAAGCTGGTACACGCGCACGTCCTTTGTCTTTGCATTACATGTCCTTGGTCGTCCACACTCGGCAACCCTCGAAAACTCGAGGATTTTGCTGTTTTTGTATATTGCTTCAATGTGCGAAAAGCTCATCGCAACGCAGGCGCGCGAAAAATGACATGACCATTTCGTGTTGTAAAAACAAGACACACAGGCGCATGAGTACCTGGTCTTTCTGTTGTCACGTGTGTAAACCTACACCTCAAACCTTCAAACCTAAACCCTCAAGACTCTACGCAAAGCCTAAAACACTCAAGCTAGGAAGATGTGAGGTGCTACACACACAAACGTGAAACACCCCAACCCTACACCCTCAAGACTCAACGCAGCACGTAAAACCTTTCAAGGCTAACCCTTATTTGGCAAAACCCTAAACTCACACTATCTCCTTTAACAGTCTCACCCTGTCGCACCGAAGTCAGTGCCTTTGCACACGGGGGCTCTATCGGGCTGCACTCTGCTGGAGCATAGCATAGACACCGCCGAACTGGTCTTGCACGCAGAGTGGTGCTTCTGCTATCCGACTCCAGGGAAACGGCTTGCAAACTTCACCGTGGCAGACCAAGTGTACCCAAGCCACCGAAGCCTCAAGAAAGAAGGCGCCGGAGGCTCGAAGCATGTGTGCTCAAACGTGGATTTGATCAACTCTCCCCCGCTCCCCCCTCCCCCCTCCCTCCCTCCCCCCCTCCCCCCTCCACCCCCCCCCCCCTCCCCCCCCCCCCCCCCCCCCCCTCCCTCCCCTCCCACCCCATCCCCCTTCCCCCCCCCTCCTTCATCCCAACGAACACTGCAGGCGCCCTGCAAACCTGCCCAGTCCGAAAGACCCTGAAGCATGCGTAAAGTGAACATCCCGAAAAACCAGGATCCTTGTTGCACAGAACCCCCCAACAGGGACCCATAGTTTGAGCAGCAGATTATGTACATATACGTGTATATACATTTATGCAGAAGCTCTTGTTGCCTTCTAAAGATTCCTTGGTCCAAGAAAAGCCTGTTCAACTTCATCCAACAGCGCAGATGGGGGTTAGGTAGAGAGCTCGGTGAGTCCGGGATTCGGGAATCACCGCCTGCACCGCTCTCACTGTCCAATCAACCCTAACTCATCCCCTAAACACACAATACTGGGCCTGCGTATCCTTATTGAGTGGTGCCAATAGCTCAACCGTTGTGCAGGATCAAGGGCCGGAATGAGCACGGTCTCAGCCTGCGCGACATGCAACAAGTCGCAGAGAAGCTGTAGGTCGAGGGGTTTAGGGGTTTAGGGGTTTAGGGTTGAGGGTCTTATTAACTTTTGAGGTGTGGACTGCCTTGTCAGGCTATCGGTTTGCCGCTGCTAATCAGTACTGTTAGCATTGCGAAGTTGATTCTGGTTACCGCTGATACTCGGCGTTTCTGTCAGCATTCGTACTAGCTTGTGTTTGGGCTCCCCAAAAGCTGAAACTGTCTGAGAGCGCAGATGCAGAAGTGGCCTCAGTGGCAAGGGCTTGTGTTTCCACGTTCTTACATCTGCCCACTTCATTCTGCAACCGTCGGAATTTACCGGCTGTACTACCTTGCACCATTGAATTAGAGTGTGTTTTTCGAAGCCCATACGACACTGTCCTCTACTACATATCACTATGCTATTTTAGAGTATGGTACATACTGACGCTGCTACACCGACAACGACCACGACCACGACCACGACCACGACGACGACGACCACCACCACCACCACGACGACGACTACTTCTTCGACTACGACTGCGACTGCGACTGCGAGCGCGACTACGACTACGACTACGACAGCGATTACGATTACGAGTGCGAGTACGATTGCTACTACTCCTACTGCTGCTACTGTTACTGCCACTGCTCGACTCCTACTCCTGCTCCCTCTGCTGGTGCTACATTGCTAGTACTGCTGCTACCGCCAGCACTACCACCACCACCAGCGCTCTCACTACCAATGCGACCACTACAATTGTTTAAAGTAAACTGAGAGATCTTTGTTTCCGTTGTCCGTTTTCGGCTCCTGAGAGACAGCTGAGGTACGATTTGGAGATGAAGCTAGCTCAGTCAGATGATTGGCGTCTGATGAACGAGCTTGCGCTTCGCCTCGATGCCGGAGCATCCAGCGTTCGGACAGACGGTTCCTGTGTTATTCTTCCTATGCTAAAATTATCGTCACGTCTATGACTATGGTTGTTTAGCAATCGCCTTTTTTTCTCTCCCTATGTTTTGCTGTCTACCAAGTTTCAGCTTTACATGCCGGGTAGTGCGTGCAGATTGGATGTGGATTACAGGGCCCTCCTCCCTGAGTCTGCGTAGTATCTTGCTAAACTACCCCCCCCCCCCCCCCCCCAGGTTCAGGAACTTCGGACTGGTTGGGCCGAAGGTTGAGGGCTTAGGGCTTAGGATCCCACTCTTCGCAGGATCACGCCTTCCATGCCAACCACTGTGATTAACTCGTCCATGCTCCGAGGCTTCTACTACGAGTCCGGGTTGCGGTTAAGGAGACTACGTACTACGCACTGTATGGGAGGATGCCTCAGAAGCCATAAAGCAATCGGGTATCCTGAAAGCCTGGAATAAATCTGTACCAGACTACCCTGTGCTCTTTTCGTTTTGGTGTGCCAGACCTCCAATCCATTAGCCGTAGTCCCGCAACTGTAGCCCAGGAGAATGTCCTGGGCGAGTTCCACAAGCGCTTTGACCCGAAGAATATGCTTCTTCTGCGATTCAAGGACCCGTCTAACTTAGCAATCTTAGCAGTACCAATCAGGATGATACCCACAAGCATGACAGTATAGTCATACTGAGAACGGCAGGGTCATAAGTAGTCAATGATCTCAGCATCAAGTTGAGTATCGATTGTTTTGTGTATGTACTGAATTCTACAAAAGGTGAAGTGAAAAATGCCTCGCGTACACTAGCCCGCGTGCTCCGTGTAGGCAAGCCTTCAGTGCAAGTACCTCGTAGGGTCTGAATTGACAAAACTACTTCTTAGAGTAGCATTATAGTATCAGTGCAAAACAGTACTATTCCTATACTACTAGAATACCCAGTACTGTGCCCTGATTATTACTATACCGTACCGAAAAAGGAATGATAGTTCAACAGTTGAACAGACCATCGCTGTGCAGGACTTCGCCGAGGATACGGAGGGCACCGTCCGGCGCGTCTTTAAGTTTCTGGGGCTCCAAGAAGACGTTCCGCTGCCGGACCTCAAGACGATCCGCCCCGAGGTCGGCCGGGCAGAATCCAGCAGGGAGAAAGCAAGAGCAAGAGTTACATAGGGATTGCAAGTCATAAAGTTGGAAGGGGGTTAATGTCTGAGTCCCATGACTGCAGCCAACAAAAAGAACATGTTTGCTGGATTTGGTGGGGGTCGGAATGTTGGAGGGTGAAGGAGGCGCGGTGGGTCCAAGTGGAGAACCTCTGAAACCTGACGCGATTAACAGGAACAGCAAGAAGACGCACAAATTCGGCGCAGAAGGATATCATGGACAAACCCTAGACCCCAAACCCACACCCAAACCCCCAAAAACCGCATAAACCCCCACCAAAACCCCCAAAACCCTGTAAGTTCTAAACTCTGAACCCTAAACCCTAAACTCTAAAGCCTGGAGGACGTCATGGAGATTGAGCTCGAGAAGGAGAGCCGCACCAAAAAACTGTCTGCAGAGGATCAGGAGTTGCTGGAGCGGCACTTCGAGGCGCTTTTGGGTTTAGGGTCTCAGGGAAGTTTAGGTAACCTTAAACCCTACACCCTAAACCCTACACCCTACACCCTACACCCTACACCCTACACCCTAAACCCTAAACCCTAAACCCTAAACCCTAAACCGACCCTAGACCCCAAACCCTAAACCCTAAACCCTAAGCCCTGCGGCAGCCGTCATGTCGGGAATTTGGGGGTTTAGGGTTTAGGGTTTAGGGGTTAGGGAAGAGGGTCTCGGGATGATGGTTAGCACCCTCGCTATTTTCGTTATGATTTGTTGAAGCTCGAGCTCTTCCTGGACAACTCTTCAGAAACCCCATATGGCGGCAGCGCCTTAGGGTACTGAATTAGTCGTTGAGAAAAGTCCCAAGCCCCAGTGGGCGCAACTTAGTCCATCGCACAGCATGGTGAATGTTTACTAGAATTCGGTCAGACCTAGAAATGTACATGAGTTCACATGGCATTCCCTGTAAGGCGCAGCAGCACCTTTCCCACCTGTGGTGTTAGGCGTCTTCCTTGGGACCACGCCGGAAATCTGGCAGTTTTGAGGGTTTAGGAGAGCACAGCGAAGTGTGTAGTTTGTTACGGGCTCGCACCACCCTGGCTCGTGGAAGTTTACGATCTGAATTGGTTGCTGGAACTGGCACCATGTGTCTTTTTCATAGCTGGCGAATGTTGGGTTCCTCCCAGGATCTGTTGAGCTACAGGATCTACACAAATCGAATCAAGTGCTGTGCCAGCTTGATGCACAAAATGAGATTTGGCATAGCTTGCGAGCAGCGCTTCAGCCGGGTGCCGTGCTCCACTTGGTCCGTCCAACCCGCTGACATCTGCTTGGCTCGCTCGTCATAATTGAAGTCTTTTGTTCGGCTGCCGGCCATGACACTGCAGAAGACTCAGGAGCCCTGCACTCTAAGAAATGTCCCACATAATTCGTGGGCGTACCCTTTAAAGAAATTAGGGGGTATGGTAAAATCCTCCCTTAGACTCTCTTATATTCTCCCTCTACAGGTTAAGGGGTATGGTCAATTATTCTTAGATGCACCTGTCCGAGTTGAGGACAGGCTGACGGAATTTTCTTACATCACTGCAGAGACGAGAAAGAGCCGCTCATGTCTCTTCATGTGCTCGGAGGTTTGGTACTGCTCAGAACGCAAGCATAATGCTGGCCGCCGTAGCCCGACAAGCGGTCCTTCACAGTCAAGGCCAAATGCTAGAAACCCTAAACCCCAAACCCTACAATAGACCCTAAAGACCGAAAAGCCCTGCACTTGTAGAGATGTCAAAGCTCTCATCCCCTTTCAAGTCGACGGACCCCAGTACCGGGGCTCACCCGACAGTGCCCCGCGGGACCCGAAAACCAAACAGGTGGGCCCACCCAAAACCCCCACACGGCTTCATTGTTTCAGGGCTTGGGGTTTGGAGTTTTTCTGTCTCAGGGTTTCGTGTTTTAGGGCTTCAGGCTTTGAGGTTGAGGGTTTAGGGCTTGGGTTTGGGGATTTAGATGTTTAGGGTTTGGTTGCACATTCTTCCCATTCTCTCCAGTCCTATGATGATTTGCATTGATTCAATACATTTATGCAACCTGATGTGAGAGCGCGCGCACGTGAATGCAAAAAAAGGCTAGAACCCGAAGCACGAAGACATACGCGGCCATGAGTTGGCAGAGAGCTTTGTCACCACAGCCGCTCTGGCTCGAGCCCTAAGACTGTAAGGCGCCCCCATGAGCAGCTCGGGCCTCTTCCAGAATGCTGCTGGATGTGGCAACTTGGATCTGACCGTTTCCACAGTTTCCACAGCATGTCCCTGTGTGTATTGTGTGTGGATGTCGAATACGGGACCCATCGTTTCCTCCCTTGACTTTTGCAGGACTCGGGCAGCTTGTGTGGCTCCAGAGGGCCCTAAGCCCTGAACCCTAAACCCTGAACCCTAAACCCTGAAACCTAAACCCTGAACCCTAAACCCTGAACCCCTAAACCCTGGAATCTCAGGCCCGGATGCTGGCCGCCTCTGTTGGCTTCTGCATCTCATCATCGCGAGAACTGGAAGCCCTTGTCCAGTCCAAGGTGCCTAGGGCTTAGGGTTTGTGGTGTAGGGTTTAGGGTTTAGGGTTTAGGGTTCAAGAAGCCTCCTGATCTGAGAATCTGGTTCCAAGTTACATCGCTGACGGCTCCGCCGCAACTCTTTGTCAGGCGCCGTCTGCCGAAGTTGCGCGCAAGCTCCGCAAACTCGCAGAGCGTGATGCACAAAGACTGCAGGCTCGTTTTAATGATTAAGATTGGCTCGGCTTGACAGATTTTGGGGGTTCATCTCGTAAAAATCGGAATCCTTTCAGAGATGCCTCTTCTGTGCATGGCACCGTTCAAGCTCCTGAAGTCCCAGGGGGCGCTCGAAACCAATCCTTTGCGGTTTAGGGTTTAGGGTTTTAGGGTTTTAGGTTTTATGTTTTAGGGTTTTAGGGTTTTAGGGTTTTAGGGTTTTAGGGTTTTAGGGTTTTAGGGTTTTAGGGTTTTAGGGTTTTAGGGTTTTAGGGTTTTAGGGTTTTAGGGTTTTAGTGTTTTAGGGTTTTAGGGTTTTAGGGTTTTAGGGTTTTAGGGTTTTAGGGTTTTAGGGTTTTAGGGTTGTAGGGTTTTAGGGTTGTAGGGTTTTAGGGTTTTAGGGTTTTAGGGTTGTAGGGTTTTACGGTTTAGGGTTTTTGCCCTGGGGTGTTCGCGCTGTGCAGGCGTTCACCGATGCAGCGAGAGCCCCGACAGGTGGGCTTTTGTCCAATTGCATCCACCTGAAACGGCTCACGTGACGCCAAAACACCATCAGACCCTGGATCCCAATCAGCAACCCACCCGAACTAACGCCCCCTTTCGCAGGCAACGCACGCTACCCAGCGTTTGCCCTCTCTTCACTGTAGGCCACCATCACGTCAAGGCTTAGGCAAATTGAAAGTTCCTCCGACTGCAAAATTTGCCTGAGAACGGACGAAGCAAACTGCAACAAAAACAAAAATATACAATGCTCGGCAGGACCCTGGTGGTTGTTGGCCAACCTTGGCATGAGTGCAGGGCTCCTGCTTCTGAGTCCCTTGCCCTTTGGCAAGGGGCTCGTGTTGTTTCTAGTATTTCTCAATGCGCTGACTGTCATCTGCAAGACATACGGGAGCACGTACCGCAACCTCTCTTGGACAAGTCTCGGGGTGTACCTGACGACGCAGATCCAATTGGCCTTGGGTGCGTTTTGCTGTTGCTTTCCACTGCTTCTCATGAACTTTCCCTTCTGGCTGCTGATCGGAGTTCTGGTCAAAGCATTGGCCAATGCGGCCAAGGCGGCCTCATTTTTTCAAGCGGCGGTCCAGCCCTTGCCAGTTGCTGCCCTGGATTTCCTGAGCACTGCGGCCGCATTTTCTTGGTTTCTTTGGAAGACTGCCCTGCTGACGGAGGCAAGGCTCAAACAAGGGCCGAGGTGCTTAGGGCAGATTTTGGAACCGGGCTTATAACAAGCATTGTCAGTGATGTAGAATATAGTAGCATATATTCGAATATGTAGATTATATATATATATATGTATATATATATATATATTAGTCTATAACAGATAAATAAATAAATGTACACATATAAATACATGTATATATAGATTAATTTACAATATATAATACAAAAAGTATGCTGTGAGGTCTTGGTCAACCATGCCTACTACCGTGAAGCTCTCGCAAAGCGGCGTGCCGCGGATGTGGCGGCCCCAAGCTTGGCTTTCCACGTGGTGGACAGCTTCTACGGGTCTCTTGGACCCTGAGACGGGCTTAGGGTCTATAGGGTTATAGGGTTGAGGGTTTAGTTCCGACGCTTCGGGACTTCAGGGGAGGCACTTGCAGGGCAACACGGGATCGAAGTCTTGCAGGGAAACACGGGAATTCAGATGGCTTGGGAGAGTATATTTGTGTTGTTGAGCGTGGCAGGTGTAAAAATTGGACGTCTTTTCCAGCGAAAGCTTCATGATGGACTTAATTATAGCTGATGCTTCTTCATATTCGCCGGTTGAAGTGCGACCTCTTAATCGACAGTCCTCTCACCTTTTAAGGTTCTCCTATTCCATTGTGGGCTTCTGGCTGGGAAACGCTGCGCTGCGTGGCTGCGCTCAGGCCAGGCACTCGGAGAAACGGTAAGTCTGCAGAGGCAGTAAGAGTAGCAACAGGAATCATAGTGTTTGAGCATACCAATAGTAATTATCGTAGGAAAAGATAACTATGAACAGATGAAGGCGTTAATAGAAGCAACAGTAATACTGTGATAGCTATCGTGTTAATTGCTTCTCACTAGTCATGGGAATAAGGAGGGTATAACAGTAATCACGAAAATAACCCAACTCTAATCAGAATAGTCGTAGCAGTCGGGTAGGAAAAGTGCAGCCTCTCACTCGACACCATCCTCGTCTTTAGTTTTGAGGGGATGGGTTGGTTTCTTCGCGGAACGGTTGATTGCATGTGCTTGTTTTTGATCCCCACTTTGGCGGCACAGTCTTGGCTGCGGACCTTCGGGGACGTGGTCGACGTACTGAAGAAAAAGAAGAAGAAGATGAAGAGTGGGCCCAACGAGGGTAGTGCAGAGCAAAGTATGGGGGGGTGTGAAGGTTCAATCTCCGACCCATGCTTGCATTGCAAGAAGGGTTGGTTTTCGCACTTGCAAGTAGGTGAGCACTTCCCCTTGAGAAGCACCTCCTCAGATCTTTGGGCAGCAGTGCGACAGGCAAGTCAAAAAGCAAAGTAGGTTCAAGGACCAAAATCGACAGGTCTTCACACTCTGGAGTTTCAGTGCCCTCAGAATCGAGCTTGCCATCTGTGCTGACTGCCATCTACCGCGAAACGCGATCAGAGTCACAGTTGTCATTCCTGAGCCGCCCCAATCTCTGAACCTGCGCAATCACAGACCCTGGGACGATAAGCTTCACTCAACACCACTGCAGGCAGCCTACTTGGTAAGCCCACAATGCTGGTCACCGCCACTGGGTCGGCATTCAGGGTGTGAAGGCACTCCAAAATCGATATGCGCATATATATATATATACATATGCTTTGCCAGCATAGACCTCCAACAGTGAGAGACCACACAACAAGACGAAGAGTTTCACGGATCATGAAAGGACGATTTTGATGCCATTGGTTTCCCAGATGTCCTTCGCGTACTGCTGTTGTACTACAAAAGTCGACTATTTTGAGCCACCTGATCTGACAACGTCCGTGGTATTAATATTAATATTAATATTAATATGAATATTAATATTACTAGAAGGTCACCTTTCGTGCCAGAAATCTTCGGGCTTCCTGCAAAAACAACGGGAGGATAGTTTCGCATTTGGCCACCCCCCGACATCCAGAAGCGACATGGAGCGAGGAAGTTTCGCATTTGGCGAACCCCCGACATCCAACCAACTACCAGGATGACGTTGTCGAATCGCACTGTCGCCGCGCATTTCGTATTGTGTTTATGGGCGATATCGTGCTCTCCGCCTAGGTCTCCGCAGCGTTTTTCGTGGCTTGCATCGCTAAGCATCCCGAAAACGTGGCAGGGCCATCAGGGCAACCACCCAAGCCACGAGGCTGGGAATCATCCTGCTGCTTGGCCTGCGATCCTGCACGGCGTCCTTCGGGAGACTCGGACCCCTAAGGTTTCGCCCTGAACCCTAAACCCTAAACCCCTAAGGATTCGGATTGTGATGGTTCCTGAGGTAGAGTAGCTGCAGGTGTGAACTTCGGGTCGCCTTCACCTCTCCCTTTGGGCCGGGTTGCGTCTTCTCATGTTCTCAGCCCTAGAGGATTCAAAACACCCCAGAAAATGGCCGTACTTGCAGAACGTCTGTGGGGTCTGAGCCTGGAGGCTCAGAGACCAGGGGGTTCGGAACTGATCTCGACTCAAGTTGTGCTCTCAAATCTGCGCCCTCAGGAACGGAGTGAAGGCGATCCTGTGCCCTGGGAGCTGTCTCAGTACACCAGGAGTTGACTCACAGACTCCCTTTGATGCCTCTCTGCTCTCTCTCTCTCTCTCTCTCTCTCTCCTGTAGCTTTTTTCGGGAGGTATTTCTCGATTCATCGGCTGCTTCACATACAGCCCTTCTACAGCTGCTGGCACAAGGCTTGGGATCTCCGATCTCCTCTTCCCATCTCCTTTCTTCCCCCCCCTTAAACCCTAAACCCTAAACCCTAAACCCTAAACCTTAAACCCTAAACCCTATCTTTATGCCATATGTAAGCCATTCTGAGGAGCACCACTTCGCTGCCTCTCAGACTTGCCTGGTGGCTTGCCAGGAGACTCTGCACTAGGGTTTAGGGTTTAGGGTTTAGGGGTCTTTTTTTTGGCTTAGAGGGATAAAGCAGATCCAACTTCAAGAGATTGGATCCAAGCTGCAGGACAGCGGGCTCTTGGAGTCTCCCGTAGAGGTGGGGAGATGTCGTAGGTCCGTTGCTTTTGGAGATCACGATCTCTTGCCGTGTAAGTGGGCCCCATGTGTAAACGATTTTAAGAGAGGCTCGCCCGCAAGCTGCACATATCGCAGGCCACATGGAGCCAGCTGGCGTTTGTGCTGCGCCCAGTTGTCCAGCCCAAACACGAAGCTCAGGACTCAGCGCACATCTCACGTGAGCTCGAAAGATTGTAATTGAAGGTCCTTTTGTTATCTTGCTCCAGCACTAGCCCTGCGCGAATTTCGGGCATAGCGTGGACTCAAGAGCGGCACAAGTGAGAAACACAGTACCTAGCCTAGGGTACTATAGACTCGAAGACCCTAGACCCCTAGACGTTCAGCTGCGGGGGGCTGCCAGAGGTGTTTGTGCCGTTCTGGGATCACTGCTTCTACTGCTGGATGGCCCTGTTCAACACACTGGTGCACCACTACTACGAAGACTACCGACATCTGCACTGGAGGCTCGCAGGTATGATGCTGCGATTGCAAGGCCATCTGCGTCGGTGGCTTGCATACCTGGAGTGGGGACGGCTCTTGGTGCGAAACCTTCCGAGCCTCAGCATTATGAATCGAAATGCCAGGAAATGAACATGTGGCAATGGCACGCAGGGCGCACATAAGGCATAAGGGACATGGCAGGGTCGTCTCTCCTTGCTACTCAGAGCCAGCTGTTCGAAAGCTGATTCAGGGTGTGGGGTCCATTCCGGCCATCCTAGAGAAAGTGAGAAAGAGAGAAGGAAGGAAGGACGGAAGGAAAGAAGGAAAGAACGACCGAAAGAAAGAACGAAAGTGCGAAAGAAAGAAAGAGCAACATAGATGGGGAATGAAGAACAAACGGCCAAGTCTGCAAAGAAGAATACGATATGTAGTGTGAGTGAGAGTGAGAGTGTGGGTGTCGGCTTCCTTTTTCTGCTGAAGCCCTTGATCACTGAGGCTTTGTTGGGCAAGTGATGTGCTCCCCCAGATGCCTGGCCTCGGTTTCCCTTTGGCCGCAAATCTGCAGTATCCTTCAAAGGACCGCAGCGGCATAACAAGCCCATGGGAGCCTCTAAAATCCTCCAAGTCCCTGCCATCCATGAATCTCGACATTCAGTGTGTTGACGGCGCTGCTGCTTCTGGAGGACTACGTCTCTGCGCAGCTGGCGAATGGTTCTATCGATCGGCACTGGCATGGGCTACATCACTGGTCCACAGAAAAACACTTTGGCTAAGGGACTGCATCAGAGGATTTGGTTGGATTCGGGAATCAGGTGCCTTCACGGTTAGCGCTGTGCCATGAATCTGAAGTGAAGCTTTGCGAATCAGGCTATGGAACCTATGACAGCATCTCCAATCTCGGTTCAGGAGGTGATCCAGACAAAAGAGAGGCACAGCTAGAAGGCTCCTTGCACTGGGTTTCGTGAAGCGTCAGGAGTTCAATTCCAGAGTTTAGAGGAACACAGAGCTTTCTCTGGCTCTGGTAGAACCTTTGCGTAGCTTTGACTTCCCAGTTCGCCCCCTGAGAAGCCCTGCGAATCGAAGGCTTCTTGGATGAGTACTTGAAGCTCCGGGCAGGGACCGTGAAGACTGTTTCCATGCTGCGAGATTAGGGCTCTCAATCGACAAGTGGCAGACAATGTTTCAGATGGGCTCTTGAGCCACCCTTGAGAAGAGCACTCTTGTCAGAACGGCACTGTGACATGCCCTACTTTCTGAGCGAGAGACGTGGCTTATAGCACTTGGAGCTCTTAGCGCTGGAAATGTGCCCGCTGAAGGCGTGCAATGTGTGCCGCTGAATTAGCGGCAGTCGTCCTGATTCGCGGCTCTATCTTTTGGAGCTTAGGCTTGGGGCCCGGAGCGTCTCAGATGTTCTTCAGAAGGCAGGGGAAGGCAAGGTGCGTTGCCGAACTCTCCTTTGCTGAGCTCTGAGAGCTCTGAGAGCTCTGAGAGCTCTGAGAGCTCTCAAGCCTCTGGCCTCTGGTCTGCGCCGCCAAGCAACCAGAAGAGGCATCAGAGAAAGTCCTTCCCAGCTCTTGGAATGTCTCTGTGTGGGAGGGCTGGGATGTGCTTGAGGGTTGCACTTTGGAGTGTGCGCGTGCGTGCGGGCGTGCGCAGCAGGGCAAGTTGACATTTTCAAGCGCTCTTTCTTTCATTCCGGGGCCTCCCCGATGAGGCGGCCGGACAGTTCGCTTGAAGTGCCAAAGCATCACAGAGTCGGCTGCCGCAGCCCTTCGAGTTCTCTCACGCCTCCCTGGTGCTTCGGAACGCTTCCTGCACTCGCCATGGCTCCCATGAAGGCGATGAAGGCGATGAAGGCAACCGGCCTACTGTTTCGCTCCGCCATTGTTTCTGTGCAAGTGGCAGGCTTCGTCTACAGCCTACAGCACCCTGAATCCCGAAAGCGCCTATTGCCAGCGGTATGAGTTTTGTTAGGCCCCGAGGCATCGTAAGTTGTTGCTTGCAGGCCATGAAGGCTATGAAAGCCATGAAGGCCGGAATTTGGGGGGGGGGGGCATGTATTTCTATTCAACAGCCCCAAACCCCGAAAACCGAGCGGCTTTCTCCCAGCGCCATTGCGTGAAGGTCGTGTGACGATCTTAGTGACACGGTTTCGCAAGTACTGAGAGAGGCCTCACACATCCTCACACCATCATACTTTGGCTGCCGCCTTCAAGCGCGGAAACCGTCGCATGTAGCAGAAGCCTCTGCCGTGGCCGGCCACGCTTCAAA